AAAAAAAAAAAGAGGAAGTTTGGGTATATGATCACCATTCAAAACTTAACAATTTTTCAGCACACTAAAAATAACCAACCGGAAGATGTAATGGAAAAAGACCCCATTCACTTTAGCAGCAGAAACTATGAAGTCCTTAGAAATAAATCCACTCTTGTTTAATACCTATATGAAGAACACATTAAAATGTTACCAGATGACATATAGAACTCCTCTTGGAAATGTGCATCATATCACTGGGTGGGCAGATTTACAGTTTTTAAACCTGCCAAGTTTCCCCTAGAAAATTCAGTGCAATCCCTGTTTTTTTTAAAAAACTTTTCATGAATCTTCAAAATTTTATTCTAAGTGTGCACAGTGTTTTTGGCAGCATATTAGTTATTGTGATAGTCTGTTTCTGTTACTGACAGCAAAATACCTGGAACTGGGTAGTTTATAAAGAATATTTATTGCTGCCAGTTTGGGATGCTGGGTAGTCCAAAATCCAGGGTACACATCTAGTGAGCATCTTCCTTGGTGGTGGCTTCAGCGACACTGGGTGTCACATTACTAGATGGTGGAATCAGAGAGACTCTCACGTGCTCTCCTTTTAAAGCCCTCGGAACCATGGCCATGAACTATGGCATGACCCTTACAATCCAGTCACCTCCCCAAGACCCCACCTTCCAATCATCACAATAGGATTTCCTACCCTCTCAACACTGTCACAGTGAAGGCCAAGTTACCAATACCTGGAATTTTGGGGGACACAATTTAAGCTTCAGTGAGTTTGGGGGGGACAGTCAGTCCACAGCAGTTATCCATTGATGCATAACACATTTACCTAAAACTTCGCTGCTTAAAACAGTAACAAGAATTTTTGTCCCCAGTTCTGAAAGTCAGGAATATGGGAGCTGCTAAGCTGGGTGTCTTTGGCTTGGGATCTCTCAGGAGATTATGGTCAAGATGTCAGTCAGAGCTACCATCATTGGAAAGCCTGGGTAAGGCTGGAGAGTGCATGCATGGTGGCTCCCTCACCTGGCTGGCAAGTCAGTGCTAGCTGCTGGCAGGAGGCCTCAGCTCCTCACGGCAGCCTCTCTCCAGGGTAGCTTGAGTGTCCTCACAATGTGGTAGCCAGCTTCCCCAGAGCGAGTGGCTGGAGAGGGCGACGTGGGAGCTGCAGAAGAGCCTTGGAAGGCATGCCCTGTCATTTGCACTGCACTCTGGTTACACTTAACGTGGGTGAGGGTGACACGAGGACATTGCATTAGTCTGTTTTCTGTTGCTGATAATGGAACACTTTCACCCAGGTGATTTATGAGAAAATGAGATTTATTTCTTACAGTTTTGGAGGCTGGAAGTCCAGGGTTTCGGGGGTGCATCTGGTGAGGGCCTTGTTTGGGTCTGGGCTCTCTCTGCAGGGTCCCACAGCGACGTGGGTGTCACACGTTGAGGGCTGAGCAAGAGTGTGTGTCAACGTGGTTCTTCTCCTTATGAAGCCCCTGGTCTGCTCTCTGATAACCCACTGATCCATCCACAAGGGCCCAGTCCTCACAATCCAGTCATCTGTTAAAGGCCCACCTTTCTTTTCTTTTTTTCTTTTTCTTTTTTTCTTTTTCTTTTTTTTTTTTTTTT